GCTGATTTAAACATACCATTTTTCAAACTTCTTTATCTTGACTTTTTCATTCCAACTTCAGTTTCGCAACAAACTCAGACTCACTAACACTGTTACCCCAGTGGGAATGTTCGAATTATCACGCCGGCTTTACCTGTTAGGTAACCATGGTAACTTGTCCGTCTCTATGGCAACAAGCCTTGTGAGAAGAAGCCGCTAATCTCGAGGAAAATGAGTTTCTTGAGATTGAGGGGCTGAGTTCTAATTGTAATGAGATTTAAGAATAAGACATAATCCATGTGGGAAGACTGCGGGACGACCTTGGACTGTGGGCTGACTCAAGGTCATATGTTGGAGCATGTCCTTTTCTGTCAGACTGATCAAACATTCTTTTATTTTTTCGTCTGGCTGTGAAAATTTTGGGGTCATTTTTAAGTTTCATTTATACTGAAACTGATAATCATATACTGTACTGTATCTTACATTAAAAAACATTCAATGAAACCATCAAAACCCTTGTAGATACCCAGAAAGCTTGATACTGATAGTTACAAAACTTTCTTTCATGTTAAGTTGTGTGTTGTGATATAATGTTGTCACTGGCAATGTATCACTAAGGTTTGACTTATCAACTGAGATGAACTTGCATGCTGATGGGTCACTGTATAATTTGGGCATCTTGGAAAATAAACATTTTAAAATGTTTGATAAAACTCAGATAGGACAGAATATGATACTCAGATAGCTGTTCAATTTCCTTTCGTGAGAGTTGGTCACACTCAGTCAGTAATATGTCACTTTATGTCCTACCTGGGCCGCGATTACGTTCCTTCGGCCGTCGGGCAATCCGACGCGCGGTCGGGCTGGTACCTCGGGTGATACGGAATACACCGTGTTGTATTCTATATGTATAATTTGGGAATTTTGTCAGAAGTGAAATTATAGAAAAACAGAAAGGTTTGTCCTTCACTATAATGAGGACAAAAACACAGTATTTCCAGTTCATCCTGTGGATACCTGATGGCCTGTTTTTCTGAGTGAACAGGTGTTTCTCCATCTGTACCAGCTGGTATCACATCCATCATATTTCACCTGTTCTCACCAACACAACATCAATCTGCAGATATAGGCCAAGCTGTGATTTATACATACAGGATCTGACATCTGGTCTTGTTTTGGTGATGACAAATGTGCAAAAAGCCACACATCAAGTTCTACTCATCTGTTCCACAAAACTATACAAAATGCCAAATGAGTTTCTTGAGACATTTCCCCTGATTCTGGCTTCAACACACTATGTGTGCTGGTAAAACACATTGTGTTCTCTGATGTTTTTTCTTCTTTTCCTCCTTCTCCTGCCATTTCTTTAAATGGATTCAATTTCTTCATTTTTGGGCCAAATATTTTGCATGGAATTTGGCATGAAATTAAAGTACAGTAGCCAAACACAACATAAATCTGGAGATGTAGGCCAGGCTGTGATTTATACATACAGGATCTGACATCTGGTCTTGTTTTAGTAATGACAAATGAGAGAAAATGTCGTCCATCAATTTAGTTTCACCTGTTCAGAAAAACCACAAACTGAACATGCCTGTACATGTACATGGTACCAAACAGATTTCTTGAGAGGTTTGCCCTGATTTGATTTCATTTTCAATTCAGGGTTTGGATTGAAAAACTAAGTGTAGCTTTGAAGCAAGAATGAAAATCATTGCTGTGTGTGGTCTAGATTGCACACTAAATCCCCTCTACCAGTTAAAATATTTATTGAGAGATTTGATCTGATTGTATTTCGTAATTTTCATTACAGCGTTAGGACTTAAAAAGTGTTTGAAGCAAGAAAGAAAATGGTTGTTGCCTTAAAAATAAGGTGTGTGGTCTGAATAACACTTCAAATATCCACTCTTGATGTATCAGTATTTGAGCTTAATCAATGGTATTAGGAGAAAAAAAGACTTCAGTCAGGAAAGGTGTGTGTGGTCTGGATTCTACATTAAATTAATACCTGCTGATTTGACAAATGTGGCTTCAAATCATCAGAGGTTGATTACGACAGAAGAAAGGCCGACTTGTTCAGGTTGGAATGAACTCCTTTATCTGGTAATTTGAAAACCCAAACAATTCGAGATAAGGATAAGAATTGTTTTCAGTGTTAAGATTTCAAGAATCTTTGAGGTAAGGAAGAAATGTAGCAAAAAGCTTTAAGTTAATATATTTGTGCTAAATCTATGGGTTTCCAAGAGATTTCTCCTGAATCTATGTTGTTTTTATTTTAGTATTGAAAAAACAAATTGATAAAGTCAGAATACTGTGTGGTCTGGATAACACATCAAATATCCATCTACAAATGTGACAAATGTGGCTTCAAATCATCAGAGTATGATTACGGCAGAAGAAAGGCCGACCTGTTCAGGTTGGAATGAACTTCTTATTGGTAATTTGAAAACCCAAACAAATCCTGGTCGCCTGATTAGCTCACGATTAACATAACGGGGCTAAAATTTCCCGTGGGAAACAAGATTCACCGGGGCGAAAAATTGGCAGGATGTTTGGAGGTTTGGAAGTGGAGAGTGTGAGTCCGATCTGGGTCAATTTTGTGTTCAGGTCTAACGGAGAATAATCTGACTTACACTTACAGTACTGCTTGTCGTGTCCTCTTGGTGCATAGAGAAAACTAGTTTCACTACTTAAAAAGAAGACCACTCTTCCTCGTGTGTGTGTGAAAAATCACAGTGTGAGTCCGATGTGGTGAAAAATTGCTGTGTGAGTTGGATCTGGGTCAAATTTGTGTTCAGGTCTAACGGAGAATAATCTTACTTAGATTAGAATACTCCTTGTCTTGTCCTCTTGTGTATAAAGCTGTCTAGTTTGACTGTAAGGGATCACCATTTTCCTAGAAATAAGAGCTAGTACTCCTATCAGATTACTTGTTTCGGTTCTTGATGAAAATTTGCAGTGATCTCGTTGAACCTGTCCTCAGTACTGAGGAAAAATAAAGACTAAAGCCACTATAAGACTTGGAAGAATGAGTAAAAGACCTTTATTGCACCCATATTCAATAACTAGATACAATGTTGGGAGCACAAAAGTGCATACCATATATAAATACACCCAATATTTCCATCACTGCTATACTGAGAGAGATGGGCATTATGCCAAACCTATACTAATACTATAGACTATCTAAAATGAGTAAAAGACTTTTATTGTGGACAGTGCACTATACTAGTACTGTAGTATTCAATAACTAGATATATACTACACAACCGTTACAATAATTTTTGGAACACAATAGTGCATACTAGTACCATATACATGTAAATGCACCCAGTGCCAGGCATTATGCCAAACCTATAGACTAACTAGTTACAATACAGGCATAGAAATCAGGTCCACACGAATATTCAGGTGCTTTAGTGCAGCCATAGTCAAAAATTAGATGCACAACTCTAATTTTGGTAGCACAAAAGTGCACACTCAGTATTGCTAACACGAAGATATGGGCATTATGCCAAACCTATAGACCACTAGTTAGGCCTGGGAATTTATAGTTTCAATGTCAATGTTGGAAAACTGATTGTACAACGTTTCACCACTCAGGTGTCAGATCATGGAGCTAGAAAAGGTCGATCAGCTCAAAATATTTGTGTTCCTTGCAGGGGTCCACACAAAAAAGGCTAGGGTTGGCAGTTTTTTCTAGGGTCGGTTGGGAAACAGGAAACACAACATATTATTAAGTTTTCCTAGGCCTTACAATACAGGCATAGAAATCAGCTCTCTTTGTTGTATAGTTTACATTCAAATATATGCACCCAGTATTTCTAGCACTACATAAGATATGGGCATTATGCCAAACATATGGACCAGTAGTTACAATCCAGGCATAGAAATCAGGTCCCTAGCAAAATCAGTATTCCCGACTCCGCGGTGGTTAATTGACAAATCGGCAGGCCCAACTGTTGCGAAGCGCCCGGCTTTTAGTAGCGATTTTACCACCCCGCTGTCGTAAACGTCTCGGGTTTCACCTGCCAGGCTGTTGCCATGGTAACCGGCTGCCGAGGGTTTTGTGACCGTCCTTCGGAGTTAATGCCGGAAAGTGCTGACGTTGGGCCACACTAATTTTATTGGTCGGTTCATGGAATTTTGCAAATTTGAAAACAAAGCCTGATGATGTAGCATCATACTAGCACGTCGGCAGAACGTACTGCACCTGCGCAAAACCCGTAATGTATTGTGCATAGCACTTCAGCAGAACGTCTCATATAATAACCTAGGTTGTATTCACGCATTTAAGGTTAACATCCCTTCTGTAGTTTCCAAATGTTGTGTGGGAAAAGATGTCTGTAACAGGCAAAATTCTGAGGCAACGTTGACCAAACATCCAACAAAAACTGTGAAAAATCTGGGTCTCGCACAGGCGCAGTACGTTCTGCCGACGTGCCATATGATGTCTATTAGCTATATTTTATCTTAAAATGATATCCCCTTAAAGTTTATGATATCCTCTTACATTGTACTATATATTCACCTCAAAATATCTGAGAACCAAGGAACTAAACTGCTATGACTTCACGACGTGCTTACGCCCTCCCCCCATGAATGCATTTTGATTCAATGAAAACCCAGCCAGTAAAAGGTCTGAAGTCAGAACCCCAGTAAAAAGCTGGAGACAGTTTTATTCTGACAGAGGGGCTGAACTTAGGATGTAAAACTCGCAGGCCAGGGAAGATCTTGTTTAGGGCTTTAAAGGTGGGCTGAAGCAAGGAAGTTCACTGGTTCTGGAAATTCTTGAGTCAAATTTGCGTCAAATTTGTTTTCAGATATGTCTCAAAATAATGTTCCATTGTATGATATTGCATATTGACATTGTGTAATATGTGAATTGCACTGCTTTGCAATATTAGATGTATTGTTTAAAGAGACTGAGTTATTGTCACATTTCCATGCAGATTGTTGTGTTACTCAAGTTGTTACCACAGTGATTATTTACCTAATTGTTTGTTTGTTTGTTTGTTTAGGTGAGGACATTATTTGTGAGCGGGCTGCCTATGGATGCTAAGCCCAGGGAGCTGTACCTACTCTTCAGGGCATACAAGGTGAGATGGATCATTTATTTGTTTTTGTTTTGTTTATTTTCCGGTCTAGCAATGTTCAACTGTTCCTGCAAAAACATATTTGTAAAAAATATGTTTAAAAAAAGAACACACAAATAGGATTTTAAGGATGACATCTGATGCTGAGTTCTTCATTCTTTGAAATTTTAGAATAAAGGAAAATCTTGTGAGAAAAATACCTTCCTCAACTTTCTTCAACTTCTAAGACTCCTTTTATGGCCTTCTCAACAGAAAAATCTTGGTCAAAAGAAAAGAGCAAAGATATTCTTAAAAATCTACCTTCCTCACCTTTCTTTCTTCAAATTCCAAGACTCCTTTTGCGGCCCCTCTAGATGTGTGTCTTAACAAGTCTTGCCAGTAATTTTAGTGAGTTTAGATGCAATACATTAGAGTGAAAGTATCCTTCCAAAATCTTGCTCAAGTGCTCAAAAGAAGGGAACAAGAATATTCTTAAGAATCAACCTTCTTCCACTTTCTTCCAAGACTCCTGTTGTGGCCCCTGCAAATGTGTGTCGTAACAAGTCTTGCCAGTAATTTTAGTGCACCGTATTTAAATTTTAATGAAGACAAATCAGGTCATTACAGATGACACCTGAGTGTTCAGTTTTCAAGAGGGGAAGGAGAACTTCTTCAATTTTCTTCTAAGACTCCTTTTGTGGCTACAGTAAGTGTTTTGTCTTAACAAGTCTTGCCAGTAATTTTAGTGCACCGTATTTAAGTTTTAATGAAGACAAATCAGGTCGTTACAGATGATATCTGAGTGTGCAGTTTTAATTTTTTGACATCTTTTGTCTAATAAAGGAATATCTTGTTTAGAAGGAAGACATTAGAGTTAATACCTTTCATTCTTCAACTTCCAATACTTCTTTTGTGACTTACCCAACAGAGAAAAATCTTGCGCAAAAAGTGAAAAGAGTAAAGAAAGAAAAGAGTAAGGATATTCTTAAAAATCAACCTTCTTCCACTTTCTTCCAAGACTCCTTTTGTGGCCCCTCCAAGTGTTTTGTCTTAACAAGTCTTGCAGTAATTTTAGTGCACCGTATTTAAATTTTAATGAAGACAAATCGAGTCGTTACACGTCAGACATTTCCACACGTTAACAACTGTGTTCAGGAGAGGGAGAATTTTCAGGCTCGTTTGCGGATGGTGCTTTGTCTTTGTTAGGCCACTCTAGGTTAATTTGCCGGTTCTTAGAACAAACTAGTACTAATTTGGAAGAGAAAAACAGTCTATTCTGAAACAATAGGAGCTACTTGACTAATTTGCATCATCCTTGTCTTGACTTGTTTAACTTTTGTTTCCTTTTGGACTTTAAAAATTGTCTTCACCGATTTGCATATCAATCAATCGTACTTATAAACCTGCATTTCTGACAACTCTCCAGTGTCACTGACAAAAGCTAGTGGATACTACCTGAAATGTCTGACCGTTTCCAAAATTATATCCAGTTGCTTGTTTTTTTTGGTGTTCTGAGGGGAAAGCCTTGGCACTTACAGTTTCAGGGAGTGGATGTAGTAAGATTGATGATTTTTTTTTTGCTGAAAGTTTACTTCAAAATATCTGTAAAACACAGAACTGCATTGCTGTTGCCTGGTGGTGCTCTGTCTCCATTATATGAGGATACAGTCCTGTCAGCTCTGCTGGCATCTAGCCCAGGTGTGGAGTCAGAGTTGTTACCAGCAATACGGCAGGAAATAATTCTCTTTCTGGGCTATATTTACACATGAAAACTGTAACTGAAGCTTGCTTGTGTAGCAGTTTTCTTGTGTAGAGACGTCATCTTTCCCAAAACTATTTTCAATGCAGCTATGCCAAGTATGCTGAGGCAGCAAAAATAGAGATTCTTTTACTTGAATTTAGTATTTTCCTTCAATCAAATTTTGCAACATAAACCTCTGAATCAATGATTTTGCTCATACTTTGTAAAACTCGTCAAAGTTTGGCTGGTGAGAAAGCCAAAAATGTCCTTTTTTGCACACTGGAAAAAGGATCAAGAAATTATCTTCCTTAAACTCTGTTCGAGTCTTATCATACAAGTCTTCTAATTCAATACTGCAAGAAAGATTACACTTTGATTATTTTTGTATATACTTTAGAGTCCCTACTACAAGTTTTGCTCGTGATGACAACCGAAAACGTGGTTGTTCCAGCCCATGTGACAGTAGAACTCTCTAACGAGGGATGACAAGGGCTGGGAAAACCCTTTTCCCACTGCACAAACTCAGACTGATCACCTGTCAAACACAGGCAAAATGCCAGGGGTGTGTTTGGGGAGGGGGGGGGGAGAGATAGTAGTTTTGGTACTAGTACTTTTACCTCCAATTGACTCAAGATGAGTTGGAAATAGTAAAATATAACAAAATCAATGCACAAGGACTGGGGAGACAATTATTTTCTGCTATATTGATGACAATGAGTTGGACTTTAGTTCACTATCAAACAAAACATTAGATTTTGGACTACCTGGCTCCTGTCCTTGGTGCTGAACTTCCGGTTTTGATATAACAACTTCTGGACATGCTAGTTTACTGATAGAAAAATGGTTTGTTTGTATGATTTCAATCTAGAAAACAAGTCGGTATCAAGTTTTCCTGATATTCAAGTACTACATGGTAACAAGTTTGACTGTATTACAAGAATTTGACATGTTTACCCCCTTTATTGCTACCTTGTTTGGTTTAGTCCAGATTACTCCAGTTGGAAGTAGACCAATCCACTTCAGCAATAGGGATGTTTTTCTAGAAATTCAAATCAAGTTAGAAAGATTCCCGATAACGAAGACTTGTCTTACTCAATCTACAATTAGGATAACGACTCAACGTTAATTAAGAATAATTAATCCGCTAAGCCCTCGTTAGTTTTCATATCGAACTAATTGTTCTTTGTTGCCAAAGGGTTCGCTATTTTTAGCGACAGATAGCTTTACTGGCTTAGTGCCATGGGACTTCAATATAATTAATGAAGAAACAAAAAGAATAATGAAGACTTGAGCTAGAGAATTATAATGGAAGTTTAATCTAGTCACGCTGATAAAATGTATCTTGAATATACAATGCTTCTGTGCCTTTGGGAACGTAATTTCAGAAATCAGACATCAGTTTATTGTCTCTTCATTATTTTCCTCCACACAAACTTAATTACGTGGTCTTACAATGTATCTGTCTGGACCATACCAAAACTACAGGCATACTGTAAATCACTTTATATTCACCAAGCAATGAAGCAAGGGTGCTCCCCCTCTTCCCAAAACCCTAGAACCAGTTCCAAAATGTTCAAATTTAGGTTTTTTTTTAGTATTTACATGAAAATTTGCTGATTTTTCATCAACCGATTAGGGAGCACCTCTCCCCTCAGAATTTCTGGAGACCCCTGACATAAAACCTTACTAGTAAACTATAATTTCTGCGACTGATATGCACATAACACAAACATAAAACCTTGCTAGTACTATAATATCTGTTGCCCCCAGATGTTGACCATAACTTGCCGTCCTTAACAGGCAATTCCAAGTCTTGGGCCATCATTTGGCAACGTAATGGCTGACCTAAGGCGTCTTGGCGGCCATGATGGCGCGACCTTTCGTATCTTGCAGGCGCGAGGTCAATCCTGCAGATTTCCTGAAGGTCAAAGATACAGCTAATCAAGGTCGTAAATGCAGGGAAGGATATTCGGATTGACCTTTGTTGACCTTGATTGCTCTGTTTGAAGGTCGATCACACCCTGCGTGTCTGTAGAGGTCGTGTCTTACATGGAATAACAGACAGAATACTTCATCTGCAGGGCAAGGTCAAAATCATAAACAACCTGCAGACGTGAAGGTCAGAAAGGTCAAAGTCAGCTGAGAATCAATGGAATGAACTTGAACCCATGGTCAAACTTTAGACATACAAAATTGCCAAACAGGAACATGAACATGAACACAAAGTTTGTACTTTGGGCCATACCAATTTAATTTGTTGGTTCTCGGATTTGCCTCTTTATTTTTTTCTGATTTGCACACAAAAAAAAAGATTCTTGTTCCGAATCAACTCAAAAATGGTCATATTTTGCCCCCAAGAGTTGAGAAAAATCTTTTTCTTCCTAGTTTCAGTCAGTTTCAGTGATTGAATATAACCAAATTTCATCCCAGCCCCTTTTGTCATATTTTCCTGCTACTTGTATTTTTGTGCTAACATGCCAGAAAACCAAAATGATAAGATATTACAGCCCAATGTGTCTATGAAACTCATCCTTTACTCCACCTAACCCTTCTAACCTTGAGCAGCTTTAGTTATCCGACTTTTTACCAGTTGACGTCATTTTATACAATCGGTAGGATTGTAACCCTAACCTCATCCAAGTGTGCTGTCGCTCTTTACGACTAGATATGAGCTAAATCACATCATTGCTTTCTTTACTTTCCCACTACTACACTACTATGTTTCATGGTAAATATACTACAAACTTCACCTGGTATAAGACAGCTGCCCAGTTTTTAATGTCCGTACTCATAACTACAAATAACTACAAATGTATATCTAAAGTAGCATTATTTTTTTACTGTTTATTTTTGGCCTTGGGCATGAATTTGCAATAAACTTTCATAACGACTTGCTCCTAAAAGCTGAAGCTAAAAACGTCAGATCAATGTTGTAACCTCTGTTACCGGAATTCTGTACAATTCAATGAGAAAGGGCCTGGACCCATAACCTCATGTACTGGGCCAGATGTTGTCGGTAAAATCAACTTTGTGTGGCAGTAAGAATGTTGGCAAGAGTCAAACGCTGGGATTTTGATGGATTTTTTGTGTGCATTGCCCAAGTCACATTATCAGTAGGGCTGGAAATACCACCTGTATATGCATGTTAAACTTAGAGCAGGCAACTTCTGATGTCTATCTGCACCTAACCTGCACCTAACTTGTCAAATTGCTGTTATCACCTATGAAGTTCAAAAGAAGTAATAGCAGTGGTTTGTGAACAGTTTTTAGAATGATCCATTCTTCCCAAATTCTGAGTGGTGCAGGTTATTTCCAAAGTTACCTGCACTGGTGCAGGTATGCAGAAAAATGTATTTTAAGCCCTGGTAAGAGTCAAGAATCTTGGCAGGAGTCAAATGTTAGAAACATGATGAATTTTTTGTGTTCATTGCCAAAATCATGTCCTCTGCCCTTCGGCAAGCCTGAATGCCCCATCATTAATCTTCCACCACTTTTAATTTCATTGCCAAAACTGCATTCTTGTGAGACATTGTGATGAATTAAAACAAAATTTCCAGCCCTCTTAAAGAATTTTGGCAAGACTCAAATGTTAGAAACATGATGGATTTTTTGTGTTCATCGCCAAAATTGTGTTCTTGTGAGACATTGTGATGGATATTTTGTGTGCATTGCCCTAATTTTCAAGAAAAAAAGTATTTTGAGACCTTTTTAAGAATATTGGCAAGAGTCAAATGTTGGAAATGTTATGGATTTTTTGTGTTCACTGCCAAAATCCTGTTCTTTTGTGAGACATTGTTTTTAGAGTTTTTAGTATGATCCATATTTCCTAACTTTTGAGTGGGGGTAAAACTTGGTAGATATTGTCTAGTCCAGGTAATTTAGAGTGAAAAATGTATTTTGAGCCCTCAGAATGTTGGCAAGAGTCAGATGTTAGAAACACAATAGATTTTTTGTGTTCATTGCCAAAACTGAGACTTTGTGATGGATATTTTGTGTTCATTGCCCTAATCGTGTCCTCTGCCCTTCGGCAAGTCTGAATGACCCACCATTAATCTTCCGCCATTTTGTTCTGCAGGGCTACGAGGGGTCACTTCTCAAGGTCACCACAAAACAGGTGGGTAAATCCGTCACCATGGTAACCGTATCCGCAGCGATGATGAATGTCTGGTTTATTGGTAGTAAACTTGAACTCTAAGTAGAGATGATGTGACTGTAGGGACTGCTGACGTATGGATAACGTTACCAGATGAATACTTAAGTCTGGGGCAATGTGAAATTATACAGAATGTACATTGTATTGTGAGCGTTTGGTGGGGAATAGGTGTAAAACTCAAAGGGACGGGATACAATTTAACCTTCTATTGCCTATAACCCCATAACTAATGGAGAAATTATAGCCAAATGGCTACCTCTCACAACTTGCTGTCACTCTCAAATTACTTTTTGAGTTAGCAAGAAAAATGTATCTTTTAAATACTGTACATCATTACATTTGTTGAGCAAATTTGATGTTTCTACTAAATCCTATACACTCCCTAAACCCTAAATGCTGTATGTCTCTGCAAAATGCAGATGTGTGTTTCCTACCCTGAACAAGTGTGGTTCTCTTATAAATATGATACTCAACCAACGTGAAATCTTTATGACTTTATTTGACAGTGTCTGGAATATTTGGAGTCTGATTTGCGCCCCATAAAAAGCAGTACTTTCACACACGGATGCACTTAATATAAGTTTAAGGTGTTGTAAACTGACTTGATTTTCCCCAAATGAGACCAAACAATAAAAACTGCTTCCTACTAATACAGTTATTGTGTGTCAGCAGTCCTCAATATTTCACGTTTCAAATGGTAAAATGTTGTTCTTATGACTATGAGCACAAGTTACTGCTCTCTCAGAGTTTTTTTTGTTATTTTTACCGGTATTTGAATTTTCCTACAAAATCAACAGGATGGCAAAAACGTTTTCACCTCTCTCTGTATATCAAGAGGCTGCAACTTCTATACAGTAACTGTCCAAGACAGATTTTTTTTGTTCTTGTGTTTGTATTGGATTTTTCATACAGGATGGCCAATGGCATGAATTTTAAGTCTTCATATTTCTGTATGTCAAGAAGCTACAATTTCTACTGTCCAAGACAGTTTACTTTGCCAACTTACAGAAATTCTGAAAAGACGTTGACAGAATTTTTGAGCAGATCAGATCAAAATCATTCAGTGTACATCCTAAGACCGTCTACCATATGCCCAAAGCAATCAAACCTCAGTCAGACAATCCCGGATCGTTTACTGTAGCGATCCTTAATCCGATTTGTTGTAACATAAGCGGATTGTGGCGGATTCTAAAGTAGCTAAACCTTTGATCCTCTTATTCGCTACATTGGGTTCTGTTTCCTTCTGCACTAGCCGGATGTGCTCATGTTTCCGGATGGTTTAAACTCAGACAAAGCTGCTTCGTTTTTACACACGTTTAGACGTAAGCCACTTTGCGTTGTTCACAAGCTTCTTAGGAGGGTCTAAAGCTGTTATTACAATGTTGTATCTGATTCTAAAGTCAGATCAAGGAAGGCAACATGCTACAAGGCAAAAAAGCATTTAGGGTTTAGACTAGATCATTGCCTTTAACTTCTGTCAGAAATGGAAAAAGAATATGACATTTTGTTTAATTTCAAAATTAGACAGAAGCCACTTTCGATTGTTCACAACCTACATGTACTTGTGAGGGTCTAAAGCCATTATTTTAGTGTTGTATCTGATTATTAAAGTTGGATGAAAGAAGAGCAAAATCCCTACCTACTGACCCTAATTTTTTTAAGTACTGAAACAGGAAACACAACATTTGTTTCTTAGCCCTAAAGACTTCATATCGGTTGAGCATCTTATTTATAAGATCCTCTTAAAGATGAAGATTATTTCATCTTCATCATGTTCCTTATTGTGACCTTCCCTTGCTTCTTGAACCCTGAGAAAGGTCGCAGCTACAGACTCTTAAGTCGCGCCCTTCACACAAGAATTCCTTAAGTACGCACAACCTGTAAACGGACCAGTTGTTTTTAGACATTGACCTTTTCCCCGATGAAAAACATTTCCTGTAGTCCTTATATGTTCATATATAATCATAACCGATGGACAGGTCTGAAGGCTTGTTTCCTCCAAACTGTCAAGATGTCAAAATACGTGCCAGGAAAATATTCAAAACATGTTTTTGATATCGTTTGGTTTCACATGGGTGCAGCTGAACCTGAGCAGATGGTTTTTTATTCTTTTGCTGAAGGAAACAGTTTAAAATAAAACTGAAAAACCAAAAGTGTTTCCTCCGAACTGTCGGTCAGTCAAAATACGTGCCAGGAAAATATTCAAAACATGTTTTTCATCTGATATCGTTTGGTTTTAGGTGGGTGCAGCTGAACCTGAGCAGATGTGTTTTTTTTCTTTTGATGAAGGAAACAGTTTGATAATTGAAAAACCAAAAGTCAGTTAACAAGTCTAGAAAGAATTGATTTAACATGTTAATTTTGTGTTTGTGATTTGGTAAGAAAGTTGATTTGGTTGATTTGGATGTAAAATTATCAATAAAGTTATCAATTGAAAATGACTAGATTGGTAAACTATGAATTTTTCATCCAATAGTGAATTGTATGAAGTTTTTTAGTCATTTTTGTCATGAGGGCTTCTAGAAAATTTTTTCATATAGTCTTTTGTCTAACTTTTGTTTCCTTTCCAAAGACTTTCAAAAATTTGTTTTCACTTATTTGCATATCAATTAAATATTATAGTTCGTACTTATAAACCTGCTTTCCTGACAACTCTCCACTGTCACTGATGAAAGGTAGTGGATGCTACCTGAAACGTCTGACCGTTTCCAAAATCATATCCAGTTGCTTGAGTAACTGCTTTTTCAGTGTATTGTCTAATATCTCTTCATCTGTCAGTGACTTGTCAAGAAAGCAAGAAGCTGCAATTTCCCCTCCTTGAAACTCACATCCATCCTCTCCAAGATTGTGACATTCGATCTTGAGAAAGTCTTGATCCTTACAACCATGACGACCTTTAGGACGTTTGACCTTCAGAACTGCCGTCACCTGTGCCCCGTCTGTAACACAATACTGTCATCACCATGGCAACCAAGACCATGTTTCTGGCAATTAGTCCTTGATGATTTCGCAGGCTTCAATAAGGAAATTCCTCAGATTTCTGGAAGGAAATATTTTCCAGGTTTAAGATGTGACATTTTTCGCGGAACCTTACTGGGTCGCATGAACTTTGTCTGACCTACCCAGAGTCCTTTTCACCGATTAAACAAAGTTTCCCAAGGTGCCCCTGCTACTTTTCTGGAGGGAAATACTTTCCAAGTTAAAGATGTGACATTTTTCATGGAGCCTTACTGGGTTGCCTGAACTTTGTGTGACCTACCCAGAGTGCTTTGCACCGATTAAACAAAGTTTCCCATAGTGCAGCAGAACTTTTCAATGATTAAAACTTTTTCAAACAAAGTTTTTTTTGGAAATATGACAGGTTTACATGGCTAGCATGTAAAATGGATTATGAACACTATTTTAAAGTTTACTAACTGAAAGCAACTTCATATGCATCTGATATCATTTTACTTTAAACTTTGAAAAGTGTCAATCTTAAGAAAGATTAAGAGAAGGAGAAGAACAAGTTAGTGTTAAGGTTTCAAAACTGATTCAGGTAAGACTTACCAAGAAATGTTTATGTCAATAATATAATATTATACTTATAGTTACACTAAATGTACCTGTGATGATGTTTTACATGTACTAATATCAGTCCTTTTCCCACAGAATATGTTAAACTTTAGATACAGAATATATGGTATGTAAGTTAGTGTAAACATTGTACTTACATTGTTATGACATACCATCCCATATCTAACCATTTGTTCCTGTTTACGTCCTTTTTACATGCGATCAGGGAGGGAAAGCCACTTCAGTAAGTGCCTGTTTATCTTGCCAGTCTAAACAATCAGGCACCATATCCTGATAACACCGGGCACCCGCCTGGGGCCCATCACAGCGCACTACCAATGTGATTCGGGCACTAATTACCAGTCGTCCTCTGGTGTGATTTCTTCACAAATTGCACGAGAAACGAAAATTACTGACTAATTTGGGGTGATTTTTTGGCACCGCAAAGTTCACCAAATTTGGGTTGAATGTCACGACTTAATAATATTGCAAACTTAATATCACGGGTTGGGTTATGAATAGGAGAAGTGGTGGAGGATAAATGTTTTATTCTTGTTGTGGAAAGTTGTATTTTGTAGAGCTACAGCAGCAATATTTCTTGTTTCTCATTCTTTGCAAAAGTTACCACAGTTACTAAAACATTTGGTTTCAAGCAAAATTTAATGCACCTGTATCTACATGTAGTAGGATATGATTAGAGACTCATTTGAAATTCATCTTTTGTAGTTTTTGTCTGAGAAACAAGAAATTTTGTTGAAGTAGCCTAAACCACCTAAAAATTGGATAGGTGCTGATGTTAAAGTCATTTCAGTTTTTTTCGTGTTGGAATACGAGTTATTTTGCATCAGTGAGCAAGCAAGTTTACAAGTTTCACCACTCTTTTGTACATGATGTAAGACAGGTTATTTTGTTTTCCATGCCCTGCTAAAATTGATTAAATGAGAAAAGGAAAGGAAAGCCGGCTCAATGGTACTTCTGTAATTTTATTCAATTTTACAAGTTCCACTAACTCTTTATCTCATATATGATGAAAAACAGTTTATTTTGTTTTCTGTGCCCTGCTAAAATTGATTAAATGAGAAGAGGAAGGAAAGGGAGCTGGCCCAATGGTACTTCTGTATTCACAGTCGGTCTTCCATTTCCCCCGGTTCTGATCCGAGTCGCTTACCGGATCGGGCGGTAATTCCCGCGCTTATTTACTCCTGGGGCTCGGAAAATGAGACTGATGTGTTCAGGGGAAAAGGTCTTCAGGCTTGGCTTTCCCATGTCAATTTTATAAAGAAAAAAAAGCCAAAAAGTGAACAAGAAGGTTGTCAGATGTGTGAATATAAATTGATTGTTTTCTAAGTGTGGATATGAATTGAAAATGATATCAAAATGAGTCTGATGTGTTTGGGAAAAAGGTCTCCAGTCTTTGGGTTCCCACGCAAATTTATAAACTAAAGAAAAAAAGGCCAAATATTAGAAAAAAGGTTAAAAAGTTCTTTTTACATGTACCTACACTGTAGCACTACTAGTGGTAAAAATGCATGTGAGTGAATCAGTAGCCACATTCACTCTTCAAAACTCTCCCCAAATTGGCACATTGAAAAGCTATGAATATTTGTGTGATTTGATTCCTGTTCGTGTGGGCCGTTTCTTCATTGATTGAAGAGGAGAGATATTGAGCCGTTGCTCTTCTCCTAAGGAGTTTTATTGATTCTTAGAAGAGAAGAAATGATCTGTGGGGCTGTTCTCATCTGATGAAAGTGAAGGAAGTGTAAAAGCCTGTAGGGATGAGAATTATCTGGAAAATCTTAGTTTGTAAGGGCTTGAAATACACCACTTTTATTATACACACCGTAGTTAGTGTACTAGGTAAAATTGGAACTCAGAGAATCATTTGGAATGTCTTTACTTCTCAGGGCTCTACATTATTTACTTCAGAATTTTTTTTTTATTTACTTCAGAATTCACCTCAAAACAAGGCTCGTGAGAGCCACTTACATGTTTTGGGTTACAGTGATGACTGCGTGGTCAGATATTTGTTCACCCTTGATTTAAATACACACTCAGTTAGGTTAGTGCAGGTGAAATTGGAACTGTGCAGGTTTTTTCTGATGTCTAACTGCACTGAAGACAAATTTTATATTTTCAGAAAACAAAACCTCAGTTCTCTTCAGTTTGTGCTGCATACATGTATTTTTAAAAATTTTAATTGGCAAAATCCTTGAAAATCGGATGGTTGTTACTGTGCTAACATGCTCTAGATATTAGTGCAGATTGTCCAGTTTCAAAGTACTTTTTGTTTGTCCTCTCAGATAATTTTCCCCATTGACACAAACATTAAGAACCCTGTCTACATGTATAGTGACCACCTGTCCACATAGACCAGATTTTATCAGTCCCTTGAGTGGTCATCTAAGGCAGTTTGGCAGTACAATAAGGTAGATGTTCGATTCTTATTTCCACAAGATGACAAGATTGACTTTTATTTTCCTACAGAACTAGGCCAGACACAAATTTCTTCCACCTCTTACTTTCTCAACCCTTTGCCAAGATACACATCAAACAACACAGAGAGAACATGAAAAATGTTGCTGTCTGTTTCAATGGGGCATTATTATTATAGGCATGGGGAAATTGATACTAAAGCAAGCAGGAGCAAAATTGAATTGCAGTTATAATACTGTAATTCCTGATTTTTTCACTGTTCACTGTTTTCACTGTCACTTCTGTACCATGAACTTATCATTACAGTTAACAAATAATTCCTGGACTTTTTCTTTCCTGCACCTGTCACCACAGTGAATACATTAAATTCTGTGAACATGTCCATTCTCAGACCGTGAACTTTTGATACCGTGAACATAAAGTGAATTACAGTACCTTCCCTTGTGAGTTATACCCTAACTATAGGGGATCTGGGGTTTGGTGGGCCCATTCCAAGGAATGGATTGTAGATGTCGTATTTTCTCTTGCCTCTAGCTTTGGTTTCTCAGAGAATTAATTAGTTTTTTATGGGGAAGGAATAGACTGACGTTGCCGTAGTTCCATGCCTATTTTTGGCAGCATCTTGGGCTGATAATCAAACTGCTCATTTCTTAATTCAACCAGTTTTGCTAAGAATTACATATTAAGCTCTTTCTTGAGCGGGATAAAGTTTTAAAGATCTTGAAAATTTTTCCTTTTTCAGAATCATCATTGATGCACCTAACTATCTTTACAACGTTGTAGTCGACATTCGACAAAGAGATTTCCCCCCAAAACTGCTTTAAGCCATTTTCTCTTAGATTTATTTGAAGAAAACAGTTTTGAGACCTTTTTGTAGAATAATTTTAAAAGACGAGGTAAGAAGGGCACTTTCACACAACTGTTGCAGTACACATCATAGCTGCTAGGGGGCTTACAAGCAGTTTTGGGGGGAAATTTTGAAGCACAGGAAATTCACTAAAAGATGACACTCATTGCAATTTAGAAATTATTGTATTTCTAGTTTTAAGATTGATGAAAAATAACGAGATTTTTCCTCCACAAGCGGAGAGCAGGATGTTCCGTACTTCCAGCCGGATTCGTTAAAAGTTAACGAGGTTTGCTTAAAGAGTTAATTCTCATCAAGTCTTTGTCATCCAACACCTTGCACCCAAAGGCTCATGGGAGACAACTAGAAGGAACACCGCGCCCGCCACCATTTTGTCTCGGAGTTGGAGCCATGGGGGTCAAATGAAGGTCAAATGAAGGTCAAACAGGGTGTTTGTGTGTGACGCCATCTTGGTTGGTTAAACGGATCCAACATGGCAGCATCAGATACTTTGAAATGCACAATAACTTTCTAAAGAAAGAAAACAATCTGAACCACCAAGCAGTCCTTTCTAAATGTGACCATACATAGAGAAAAACAGGTATTTTGAAACATAGAGGGTCAGATGTTTGAAATGTTTTCACATGATGACTTAGTGTACACCCTAAAAATTAGCAACATGACAGTGAATGAAGATTATGTTAGGAAAGGAATCTATAACCTTGTCTACTCTTCTGGCTATGTGGTGACCATTGAGAAGAAATCATTTAGAATACATGTGTATTTGTGATCTTGTGTTTAGTAGCATGGGATTTAATGGAAATCTATGGCTTTGGTTTACCTCAGTTTCAGCACCAAGGACAGAGTGTAATGTACTTCTGAAAAATTTGATTATTCCTGCATGTTGTGTCACATTAAAGTTAAAATGATATGTTTAGAACATTTCTGACATTTCAATCAACCAAAATGGCAAAAACAAAGGCTTACTAGAGCAAAAGTTTCTTTCCTTCCTCCCTCCATGGCTCCAACCAAGAGACGACCACCGAACAACCGTCACCCATGCCATGTTGTACAAACCACCCTCCCCCAAACGTAGCCACCTCATGGACATGTGGATACACTGAAAAGTCACCCAGCGAAACGGGGCTAAGGTTGCCCCCCTCCCCCATCACAAGTGTCATTGTGTTGCCTTCCAATCTGTCTGATAGGAAATAATAAATCTGTTTTCTTTGGAAACAAAAAAGGTATTTTTGTCTCTTTGAAACAGAATTGTAATCTTACTTCTTGTGGAAAACAAAGTCTCATTTTCTTGTCTTTCTGATGTAAGGGAAATACTACATGTACTTGTATTACTTAAAAACTGTTCTGATTCTTTGGAAATGAAAGAAAATATTCATTGGCAAGGAAAAAAAAACTTTGAGTCTTTGCCTGTTTGAAAGAAGTAACTTTATAATGATCTTAAAAAAGAGTTCTTGTACAAAAGCAAGGTCTTCTTGGTCCTGCTCTTCTTTTCTTGCTGTCTCTTGGCTTTTCTTTGTTCGAACTCAAACCATATTCCCTTTAGTATCAGACAGGTTGGATGGTAGCAAACACAAAGTGTATGTGTACGTGTATCACAGTCAGTATAGCCCCAAAAACACGCCCAAATCCTGCAGAAAATGGACAAGTTTGCACCCCAACATGCCAGTCCTGTAAACAGTGCATAAAAGTGTCCTTAAAAACTACATATATGAGCATGCTGGTCAGGTTTTCCTTGTCCCACCCCACACAAGTAAATATCGACTATCACAGCTCCAAGGTCACTCCAAGGACAACAAAATGGCCGCCTTCTGCGTAAACTGTAGGTCAAAATCAGCACGATATAATCAGCAGTGCCAAAGTCAGCCTGTGAGATGACACAGTGCACCTCGCCAATCAACTGTCACCCAATCAGACGAATCCGCACCCGACCATCAAGTCCATTCCACTGTACGCCACCTCATCCGCCATCAAAGATATCGGCCACGCTACGTCCTGTAGAACACCCCCATTTGGGAATGTAGCAGTCCAGGGCAATCATTAAGTGTGCCTGACGTTGGACTGGTCCATTGTGTAAAGCGGGGGGAGCAGCGTGCACTCGCGGCCAAGGCCACATAACTCCATCCGAGATTCGCACGATCGACACGCCAAACACAAATCCCGAAGAATCGATTATCGATTATTGATAGATTTTTTATATTTTTTCCTGCAGCCTGTCGGATTCGTGACGTTCGAGTCGAGGGCTGGTGCTGAGGCTGCCAAGCAGGCACTGCAGGTGGGCACATTTATGCTAATTTTATGCTAATTATATGCAAATTTATGATAATCATGAATGAAAATTTTATGCAAATTTATGATAGTTATGAATGATAACAATATGCAAATTTATGATAAATATTGTGGAATCTTTTGGATATTGATATTGGGATTATGAGTGTGCAAATCAATAATTGAAGAGTATTATTACTTAATGTTATAATCGAAGTGTGCAAAAAGAGGATGAAGACACTTGAGAGAAACAGTTGACAATCGATGGAGAAATTATGGCGGTGAAGAATTTTGAAATTTTGTTCCTAGGCAATCTTTATGTTCAGTGAGAAAGTTACTGCCTATAATTTTGTGTTAGCACATCTTAGCTACACGTTAGCATACATGTAAAGACTTACACCTATGAGGAAATGTACATGTGTTGTAACCTGCAACTGCAACAGGAGAATGATGTACAACAACAAAAATCAATACAAAACGACTTCCCGTAATCCTCGGCTAAAACGGCTCCATGATTATTTGATGGACATAGAACAAGGAAAAACACCTGTGAGGAACTGTACCTGACTGTGTTGTAAGAGGAGAAAGATGTACAACACACAAAAATCAATACAGAAGGACATTATATTCTATGTATGCCAAAAGAGAATGAAGACACCTGAGAGAAACAGTTGACAATCAACGGTGAAGAATTTTAGAATTTTGTTTCTAGGCAATCTTTATATGCAGTGAGAACTGCCTACAATTTTGTGTCAGGACATGTTAGCTACATGTTAGCATAAAGACCTAACATCTGTGAGGAAATGTACATACAAGAAAAAAATCAATATCAAACGAGTTCCCGTAATCCTGGCTAAAGCGTCTCCACGATTATTTGATGGACGTTTACGACCGGAGGGAAATGGTTGATCAATCCTGACACTTCCCCCGGGCGTCATCCCTCAAACGAAATTGTTACCACGGCGATCCCCGTGGCAACGAATAACCGCTGACGGGGGCAGCTTCCTCCTGTCGTTACAAACTCCGCGTCGCCATGCCGACCGGAGGGAACACTGTTGCCATGGTGACAATCAGTCGGGCTCGGTTTGTTGTTAGACTTTTTTAATGAGGGTCTCACGTATCTTGATTTTGTTGTAGGGAATTTGACCCAATCAAACCCCTTATGGAAAAAATGCTAAGATAGCAGTAAGAACCCCAGGCTTTGATTTGGATAAAGGAGTTCTTTATAGACCTTTCTCACATGACAGAATGATCACTAAGCATCTTTAGGTGCCCGGAAGGGAAAGTGGCTTTTTACTTCTTGAGATGTGGAAACCTTGATTGTATATATTGTACCCACAGGGTTTTTCATTTAAATCTTACGTTAGATTATGCTCAAAGTAACTGTATAGAATTTGAAAACTATCAGACATTTCAGGTAGCATCCACTACTTTTTGTCAGTAATTGTGGTTCAGAGTTGACAGTACTAATTTGTTTGCTTGTTTGTTTGTTTTTAGGGAGTCCGTTTTGACCCTGACATGCCCCAGACGTTGAGGTTAGAATTCGCCAAAGCCAACACAAAGGTTCAGAAACCCAAGCAGAACTCCACAACCCCCCAGGTCGGCATTCCTGCCATTGGACCTCACTTCGCCAGGGAGCCTTGTGAGTACTGCTGTTTGTTTGTTTGTATTTTATCCTGGTAAACTGAGTTCAGTTCAGTTCAGGTCATCCTCTTTTGAGGTGCCATTCATAATGTCTCTCCATGTGACTCTGTCGCGCATGGCGGACAGAAGTTCCTCATTCCGTAGGCCAACCTCTTCCTCGATCAGGAAGAGGTAAACTGACCAGAGGCATAACACACTAGTTTTGTACAGTATGAACTTCAAACTTGGCCAGGACATGTTTTGCTACTTTCTTCCTCCATACTCCATCTCTCAGGAAGTTCCATGCTGCAAGCTTCTTTCCTTAAGAACTACATCACTACGGAACAAGCTTCCCAAATGGGTACAACCTTAAACTTTTTAAAGTCTAGGGTGAACAAACATATTGGTCTCAGAATACATTTCCTTATATGTAACCCAAAACATGTACTAAGTGGTTCATATGAGCATTGTTTTGGTGTGAAAATAGGAACTAGTAGTAGGAAGAGTTTGGTTTAACCATGGTTTCAGCACCAAGGACACAGGTCTAGTTTGTACAGTTTAAAAATACCTGGCTGGTTTATACAGTACTCATGTTAGTCAGTAGATTCAAGGAACACCTTCAGCTTAACAATCAATACATCTCTGTAAACCATGCCTGGAGCCATAACACACAAAAAAAATACATAAAAGCCAGCTTCACAGAAAACCCTGTAGCAATTTTATTCCGCATTTTAGAAAGAGTCAACTGCAATATCATACAGATACAGAATACATATTAATCACTTGAAGTACCTGCACAAGGGATCAAAGAAAATGATGTTCACGGCAGAATAATATGAACAGCGAGAGCAATAAGGTTAAAAAATCAATATACCCCCATCAGGATGATGTATCTGTTATGCCAGTCTCACAATATATAAAACATACGAGACGTGCTACCTACATGTACGCTACTGGCTAAAGTACTGAAATACAACTACTGCATGCCAATTTAATTTGTTGGTTCTTGGATTCGCCTCTTCATTTTTTTCTGATTTCCCCCCCAAAAATGGTTCTGGTTCTGAATCAACTCAAATTTTGCCCCCAGCAGTTGAGGAAAGTTCTTTTCTTCCTACTTGTTACAGTTGTTCTATCTAACAATGCAGTGGTTTGATAAAAAATTGAAAATTCATTGTTTAAATGTTAACCCAGCCTTTTGTGTTGACTTAATGGCTCCTATCATAGCATTTGGGGCTATAATATGCTGCCTAGACCTGTTTTTTATTTTTATTTTTTTTTCTCCCTGTTGCTTCATATTTTTCCTGAAAAAATCTGAGAACCAACAAATTAAATTGGCACCTCCTATATATACACCACTGGTCACAGTTCTGAAATAGGACTACTGCAGTTATGTTTGATGGATTTTAAGTTACCCTTAGATATTGTGTGTGTCTGACCTGGAGTCTTGGGTTGCAGTTTTGACATATGAGGGAGGAAAGAAGGGCACGACACGATATTTTTCATCCGTAATGCTTGTCGAAATAACAAAATATGCTGACTTCAAGTTACACGATTGTAATACAAACTTACTGTAGATTTTTTCTAAGCCTGGCTCACAGGCCATGACATGAAATTTGTCATCCGTAATGCTTGTCGAAATAACAAAATATGCTGACTTCAAGTTTGGTGATTGTAATTCAAACTTTACTTAGTAACTGCTGTGGATATTGTGTAAGCTTGACCCAAAGACATGGGTTGTCCAAGTTACAAAATATGATGACTTAAAGGTACACTGTTGTAAAGTTATTGCTGTAGATTTTTTCTAAGCCTGGCCCACAGGCCATGACATGATATTTGTCATCTGTAACGCTTGTCCAAGTTACGAAATATGATGACTTAAATGTACATGATTGTAATACTAACTTAATGTAGTTTTTTTTCTAAGCCTGGCCCACAGGCCATGACATGATATTTGTCATCATTTTGTAACGCTTGTCGAAATAACAAAATATGCTGACTTCAAGCTTCGTGGTCATAATTCAAACTTTACTTAGTAACTGCTGTGGATATTGTGTAAGCTTGACCCAAAGACATGGCTTGTCCAGGTTACAAAATATGATGACTTAGAGGTACATGATTGTAATGCAAACTTACTCTAGATTTTTTCTAAGCCTGGCCCACAGGCCATGACATGATATTTTTCATCCGAAACGGTTGTCCAAGTTAAGAAATATGATGACTTAAAGGTACACAATTGTAATGCAAACTTACTGCTGTATCTGTAAATTTTGTCTAAGCCTGGCCCACAGGCCATGACATGATATTTGTCATCCGTAAAGCTTGTCCAAGTTACGAAATATGATAACTTAAAGGTACACAATTCTAAAATTGTAACTGTAGATTTTTTCTAAGCTTGACCCACAGGCCATGACATGAAATTTGTCATCCGTTTAAGGCTTGTCAAAATAACAAAATATGCTGACTTCAAGTTTGGTGATTGTAATTCAAACTTTACTTAGTAACTGCTGTGGATATTGTGTAAGCTTGACCCAAAGACATGGCTTCTCCACGTTACAAAATATGATGACTTAAAGGCTTACCATTGTAATGCAATCTTACTAAGTACACAACTGTAGATTTTTCTAAGCCTGGCCCATAGGCTTACTTACTTAGACTTAGGGGCTCCCGCGTCTCGTGACGCATGAGGCAGTCAAAGCAGCCCAGCTTCCTCTGTCAGCAGCCAGCCTCAAGGCTTCCTTCCAGCTCATGCTGACTGCCTGAAGGTCCCTCTCCACTGTCTGTTGCCAGTTCATCTTTGGGCCCAACATGATATTGGGCCTTGACATGATATTTGTCATCCGTAATGCTTGTCCAAGTTTCGAAATATGATGACTTAAAGTTTCATGATCGTAATACAAACTAGCAGTAGATATTGTCTAAGCCTGACCCACAGGAATGGCTTTCAGTGCTTTTAGGAGAAAAAAAGATATAAGGAAATATGATGACTTCAAGTTACGTGGTGGTAATTCAAACTTACTGCTGTGGATATTGTGTAAGAGTGACCCAAAGACATGGCTTGCAGTGTGATGCTTTCAGGAGAGAAAAAAAGATAACTGTAACACTTTTTGAAGTTACTAAATATGATGACTTCAAGTTACATGATCATAATACAAATTAGCTGTAGATATTATCTAAGCCTGACCCAAAGACATGGCTTCTGGTGTGATGCTTTCAGGAGAAAAGGCCTCCCTAGTTGTTACAGTTTTTCCACATATCAATGCAGTGGTTTGAGTTTAAGTTTGAAATCCATTGTTTAAATTATAAACCAGCCTGGTGTGTTGACTTCATGGCTAGTATCATAGCATTTGGGGCTATTAGAGGATGCCAACGTCTGTTTTTATTTTTTTTCGCCCTGTTCCACCATATTTTTTCTGGAAAAAAATCTAAGGACCACCAAATTAAATTGGTGTGGCCTTACACTAGTTATTGTCAAACGTGACCTGTGGAGTTGGCTTGCAGTTTGAACGCCTCGCGAGAAATCTCGCACTGTGGAAGGGTCAGATAGGGTTGTGAAATTGGATCAGTACTACGGGGAAAAATGTCCTTCTTCTGTGAGGCTCTGATCAGTCATCATGGTTCTATGTGAACTCCCTCTTCGTGAGAAAGGGGTGTACAAATGACAGATCCAGGGCTCAAAATTTTTGTTTTACAGAATCTGATGACACTCCCAGGTCTTGAAATGAAGCCTGCTGTTTCAGAACTAAAGGAAGATACATGTAGTTGGAAAACATGAAGGGTAAAATCAAACATGAACTAAAGCACTTGAGCGTCATTTTCCTACCTTTACAAACACAGCTCTGACAAGTATGTAAGTCCCATAACCTTGATGGTCGTAGGGGCACCATGACAGCCAGCAGCATGTCAGATCTTGGCGGCGCCTATCTCCTCTCCAAGATTTTGACAAGTACTTGTCCAAAATAACTGGGGAGTTTTTCTCACTGGTACAACGTACATTTCAGATGGGCTTAGAAAGAAATACCTGCAATATTAATGTTTTTCTTTTTCAATATAATCATCACGTCAGCAGATTTACTCCAGTACATGTAGCTCACCTTTGTGCTATTATTTTGTCACAAAAATTAAGATATCAACATAATTAATGTGACATAATCCATCAATGCCTTCAATATTGTACATTACAGTCCCTGTGTGCATAAAACACTTCCCTTCCTTCCTGGGTAGTTTGTCTTCAAGGATTGAGCCAAATTCCACCAAAGCCGAATCGATACCTGCAATTGTCCGAGACAGGATTCCCGATGCCCATCACTTGTCAGAAGCACTTCTATTCTCCCTTTACATGTTCCACACGATTAGTCGTTTCCACTTTTAGGAGTCAGGGATGAAAATGTTTCTGGTTGAGAAGGTTTCAGAGTTATTTAGGCCTAGGAAAGAAAATGTTGTGTTTCCTGTTTCCTGACCAATTCTAGAAAAAAAAACTGCCAACCCTAGCCTTTTATGCATGTAAAGGAACATAAAGTTTATTTTTCGAGCTGATCGACCTTTTCTAGCTCCATGATCTGACACCTGAGTGATGGAATGTTGTACAATCGGTTTTCCAACATTAATGCAATTCAGTTTAACAAAGTAAAACTTGCATGAGAACACTTATAGTTTCAATGTCAACGTTGGAAAACCAATTGTACAAAGTTTTATCATTCAGGTGTCAGATCATGGAGCTAGAAAAGGTTGGTCAACTCAAAAATTTATATCCCTTCCAGGGGTCCACACAAAAAAGGCTAGGGTCTGCAGTTTTTTCTAGGGTCTGTCAGGAAACAGGAAACACAACATTTATTTCCCTCAGCCTTAGAATGTTTCAGGATGAGAAGGCTCCTTCATCCTCAGTTGTTCTGTGATGAGTTATTCATGTCGTTGTTGCTCCAGTGAAGGATTGAGGCTGTGAAATTGAGCGTTGGCCTTAATGATTAGCACCAAAGACCTGAACAAATCGCAGGATTGACAACGATACGGAAAATTGTTTCC